ATGCCAGTCACAGGTGCTGGCGAAACGTTAGGAAACAAAACTTCCAGAACACGGCCACACAGCCCGGAAGACCCACACCAGCCATTGGGATATATACCTTGGGAACTTTAACAGTGTTCTAGCTTTGTAATTGTAACAAGGTTGTGTAGCACTTTGGCTTTTATTCCAAAAAGGCACTCCAAAGTGTATGAGGGCAGCTATGTGGTTCTGGGAAAAAGGAGATGCTGCATTCATACTTCCATGTGCTCCAAAGCATCTTATTTATTTATACTTATTTAACTTGCTGTACTGCCTGCCAACTGTTGAAAGTCTCAGCCATTTATAATGGTGCAGGTAAAGTAGCAAATAACTAAATAACCAAAATAACTAAAACAAGCAAGTGAAATTGATAATTAACTGTTCAAATTAGCAGTTGAAAGCCTGTACAAAAAGATGCATTTTGAAAGTTTTTAAAAAGCCAATAAAGATCTTAGGTCCTTCAGCTCCTAAACCACCAGGAAACATTAGGAATTACAGCAGTAAACAAAGCCAGTAAATACACAGATTCTGCAGGGCATGCATTCCAAACAGCCTGGATGGCAACAAAGTAGGCTTGGTCACCAGATGTTACCAAATGACCCCCAAGCAACTGTAGACAACCCCCAGATGATCTCAGTAAGCGTGGAAGTCCATATAGAAAGCGCTTTCTCTCAAATGGCCTGAACCTAAGCAATGTAGGGCTTTGAAGATAATAACATGTACTTTGTGTTTTGCCCAGAATTGGCAAATGAATTTGGCACTGAATACAGAGCGTTGCACAGCCCAATTAGTACTAATTACCTACTTTGCCTATAAGGCAGGCACAATCTGTGGCAAAGTCAGGTGAACTGCATAGCGACAAGACTATTTTCTGATTTCAGTGTAGCAGTCTTCTGGATTTCAGGGATACTTAATCACTTAATGAAAAAAAGAAACAATATTTTGGGTGGCAGGTAGAATCCAGTGCTGTCCAGCAAAGAGACAACAGGTTTAGCCAGTGGTGAAATTAGCAAATGGTGAACGGGATTCTCTTATCCCAAAGTTTACCTTGTTTTTAATTGCCATAAACCAAAGAGTATTCATTTATCAAAAAATAGGAGTTAACATTCAAACAGAATGCCATCCCATCAAGAAGTATGAGATAGTTTTCCATCAGGGTAACAGTCTCAGCCAATTCCCCTGCTCTGATTGTATTTTGCACGGCATCTTTGTATATGCAGAAAAAAAAAATTCTAGAGAATGTTGACATCCAAAAGGGTGGGCCAGTTTGGTTTTGTTGTTATTTAGTCGTTAAGTCGTGTCCGACTCTTCGTGACCCCATGAACCATATTGCG